AGAGAAATTCACTTGCTGTTGCCAAATTGCCCAACGGGACTCTCCACTGTTTGAAACCTTAAATACAGAAAAAAAAAAAAAAAAACCACACGTGGCACATGCCAACATGTACATTTGTAACAAAAAGTGCCGGCTATACACCATAGTAGAATCCTCAAACAACTCCACTTCCTCTTCCACTGTTGTCTCCTAGTGCTCAACGTCTCTCTCTATCACTCCACCCCACTAACTTCATTCCCAAACAACCCTTACCTCTCCCTCCCAAAATACTAATATAAACCGGCCCACAAGGCTGATTCAGTAATTCCAACCTTAAACCTTCATCCCGCCGGCATTACTTGCCGCCAATTTTCAAGTATTTGTTTTTCTTCTTATCCTTTTTTCAAAACAAACAAATCCCAAATCTCCTGTTAACATAACGAACTCCATTACCATCATCTCCTTCACACACTTTCTCTACTCTCTCTCTCTCCAAAGGCCAATTCAGACGATGAAAACGGCCGGCGGAGCTGTAAATTCCGAGGAAACTCTAAAGCTGCGTCGACAAAAGTCACGTCAAGTGAGCTCTCGATTCCTTTCTCCGAGTTCGAATCCTTCTATAGAAAGCGGAATTCCATCTCCGAACCACACTGTATCTCCACTTCGGCATAAACCAAGAACATCCACAGATACCCGAAAGCACCGAAGCCTCGAAGATGGCGGATTCATACGCGGACTTTGGCCTTCTTCAGCTGTAACTTCTTCAACAGTACCATCACAATCATCAAACAAAATTCCCGGCTCTCTCGCCGATCACCTTGGAAATGACAGACTCAAAGACCTCGTGGACCGTCAAACCCACCAAAACTCCGATAAATCGATGCCCCTAAACCGGCAGAGAAGCTGTTCGGAGTACAGTAGGTTCGAAAATGTGAGAGAAATCTCGAAAGAAAATCGAAAACCCCTCTTTGGGGGGTCGATGAGGTACACCGGAAAACTCCGGTTTCCCGGACGATCATCTGCCTCCTCGTCGTCTCAGTCTTCGTCTTTCGTTAGTGATAAATTAATCTCCGGAAGACTTTCTGTTGATGATAATGCGCTGAGAAGAAAGGGATCGGATTCGTTATCGGATACTCAAGACTCCGAATCTGAGTGCAGTGACATGTATTCCGGGACGAGTTTTGATTCTCCGGTAATCGGAAAGAGCTCATCGGCATTGTATATGGCATCCACCGCAAGTTCGAGAAAATCAGGTAGAGAGGTTCCCTCGAAGTACATGCACGACTTGTCTTCAAAGTCTCAACGAGTGATTTCGAATTCAAAGTTGCCATCGGAGAATTCAATGAAGAAATTTACCATAAAGAATGCGATGAAAAGAGCGAGTTCGTTGACAGCGTACGGAAGTGCGACGTCGAAGTGGGCATTGTCTCCGGGGAGGTCCGGTTCGCCACCTATGACGGTGGAGAATAAGGGGATGCCAATGTCATTTTCAAGTTTGAAGCCTCCGAGTAGTCCGTCGAGGGCGAAAGGTGTGGGGAATTTGCTGAGCATAGGGCTAGATTTGTTCAAGAGCAAGAAATCTTCTTCAAGTTGTTCGTCGCCGTCCGGTCCGGTGACGACGGAGACAGTTCATGAACTCCGGATGCTACATAATAGATTGATGCAGTGGAGGTATGCAAATGCTAGAGTAAATTCTGTGAATGGAAAGATAACAAACCAGACTGAGGTACGTCGGGACTATCAAGAGTCTTTCATACCATTCCACATGTATTGGGCAATTACCAAAAAAATTAAATATTTTACTAAATTGGTGATCATATTATACTTAAATATGATGGGTGATCATATTACTTGAGAGGCATTACTGTTATTTTTAAGTGCTAAAAGTCTAACAAAGTTCATGTCATAACACAAAGATTCAATTTTAGCAATTCCAATATTATATAATTATTGTTTCTTGAAGAGCAATTCTGAAATCAAAATAAGATAGGAATTGATTTGTTGATTGGTGAAATTGGATTTTATTAATATAACAATCAGGATGTTGGCTAACAAATGCATTTTCTATGAATTTGTAGAGCAACTTGTTAAGTGCATGGAATAGTCTTGCAAAATTGCAATATTCTGTGGTACAGAAGAAACTAAAGCTTGAGAAGGAGAAGCTTGAGATGAAGCTGAATTTTATGGTCCATTCTCAGGTCAGTATTAAGCAGTAAATGTTTCAGACCGATAATAATTTAAGTGTTATATATATATATATATATATATATATAAAGTTATATTTAATTGATGATATGTATACATGGATTAATGGTCTCAGATTAAGCCATTGGAAGCATGGGGAGAAATTGAAAGGCAACATCTATCAGCAGTTTCCATGACCAAAGATTGTTTGAACTCTGTTGTTTGTAAAGTACCTTTTATTGATGGAGCAAAGGTAGGCTAAAAGTGAAATTATTATATATTCATTGAAGTTCATTCTGAATGCCATATATAAACTCTGCTAAACACTCAACATACTCACAAATCTAGGCTTGTAGGTGGAACCACAATCCACTTCCATTGTTCTTCGTCGCGCATCAGATGTCACAGATTCCATCAAGCTCATGCTATCTACTTTTTCACCCTCGGTAGGCTTTAGATTTTTAAGCTATACCGGTATATAATTCTTTTTGTTTGTCCCTACATTGACATTTCTCTGAATGGCATTTCTGTATTGCTAACTCGAAACAATTTGTGTAAATTATCAGGCTGAGAAGACAGCTTTGATGCTTTCGGAATTAGCAGAGGTAGTTGCACAAGAGAAGGCCCTCTTGGAAGAGTGCTCGGAGCTTTCCAGGATTGTTTCGACATTAGAGGTAAATGAAAATTGCATTATTACATTTTCATTCAATTATGCAAAACAATTTTTACCAACATTTACACATATTGTGTTATTCAATTACCGTGAGAAATCAAAGACACTAGTATCAATATAAATCTGCATGTAAACTTCTTGCTACATCAAATTTAAGATTGCTGAAGATGAATTAAGTTTCTTTTTTTGAAGTATCTTCTGGTGTTATTTGAGCAGATTCAAGAGAGGAGTTTAAAGTGTTATATACTTCAATTGAAATTATGGGAACAACAAGAAGAACACCACCACCACCAACAAGAGTCTTTTCTGATCACAGCCTAGGTATAGCAATAGCGGCAAACTTACTGTATATCTATAGAGAACCTCCCGGACCTCTCGGTGGAGAGAGATCAAGATAAGCCCCTTGAAGAACAGAGAATGTTTCTAATTGTTAAGAATAATTTTTCTTAACTCCTTACATAATATATTTAGTTAAAAAGAGATATATTATTTCTCTTTAAATTATTATTAATGCTCTAAATGTTTCTTCTGCATGTTTCTTCAGTTAGTTAACATACGATATAAGTTACCAAATTGTTTCTAGATATGTGAAGACAGAGTATTACAACCTTTCAGAATATCATGAGATATTGTTGGATTTGTCACCTTAAATAAGGTTTGCATGTGTTGAGCACGTTGTATATCATTTAAATTTTGATTAATACAATTTAATCTACGTATACTGTGACTAGGATATAGTTTTGAAGTTCATATTCAACTTACAGGTACAGTAACACACAGTAACCTTGACAACTTGTATAAAGAGTTTATTTATATATATATATATAGTGTGATTAGGATACAAGAAATTAGCGTGACCAAGTCAATCCCAATTGTTAGGATAATTCAAAAAAGGTAACATACCAGGTGGCAAAACAAAATATAAGTAGCCATTAATTTTCTCATCCATTAACTACCATATATCCAGAGGTGAATTTGGTTGGCCACAATCAAATAGTCTCTTCAAGCCTCTAATAAGTTTGCCCACCTATTACCAAACATGAAGGAAGCTCATCTCTTCATGAAGGCTTTGCTTTACCCACCTTCTCTTCTTCCAATACTTCATGAAAATGAAGGTCATGGGCCACTAGGCACCAAACCAGACACAGAAGAAGGAAGGTCTGGATCAGACAAAGTCACATTTCGCGGAGTTTTGATTCCGCCACCAAAAAAAATAAAAAATAAAATAAAAAAATAACAAAAAGAATCCCATTTGAAATCAAGAGAGGAGGATCATTGTAGACAAAAAAAATCCGGCCAACATGAACGATCTCTTCTCGGGTTCCTTCAAAAGGTACCAGGACCAAAAGCGCGACATTGAGCTTGGTGAGGCCGGAAATGAGACTGTTGATCTTGATAGATTTTTCGAAGATGTAGAGAAGGTGAAAGAGGACATGAAAGATGTGGAGGGACTCTACAAGAGACTCCAAGAATCAAATGAACAGAGCAAAACAGTGCACAATGCCAAAAAAGTGAAGGAGCTCCGTTCTCGGATGGATTCAGATGTCTCCCAGGTCTTGAAAAGGGTCAAAGTCATCAAGGGGAAGCTAGAGGCGCTAGATAGATCCAATGTATCCCACCGGAGCATTCCAGGGTGCGGTCCAGGCTCGTCTGCAGACCGAACCAGGACTGCAGTAGTCAGTGGTCTAGGCAAAAAGCTCAAGGACATGATGGACGATTTCCAAAGCCTGAGGGCTAAAATATCATCTGAATACAAGGAAACAGTGGAGAGGAGGTACTTCACCATAACAGGAGAGAAGGCAAACGATGAACTGATCGAAAACTTGATATCGAGTGGAGAGAGCGAGTCCTTCATTCAAAAGGCCATTCAGGAACAAGGGCGGGGGCAGATCATGGACACCATCTCGGAGATTCAAGAGAGGCATGACGCGGTGAAGGAGATCGAGAAGAACCTGATTGAGCTCCACCAGGTGTTCCTGGACATGGCTGCATTGGTGGAGGCACAGGGGCAGCAACTGAATAACATAGAGAGTCATGTGGCGCACGCAAGCTCGTTTGTTAGGAGAGGGACCGATCAGCTCCAAGAGGCTAGGGAGTATCAGAAGAAGTCCAGAAAATGGACATGCCTTGCAATTATACTTGGGACTTGCCTTGTCATCCTAATTCTTCTTCTAGTTTGGGTACAGGTTGCGCCTTTGCTCCGCACTATGCAGCCAAATGATGATACAATGCCGCCGAATTAAGCAGATGTAGACAACCATGTTCTTCTCTTCCCCTTGTTCATTTTGGGCATTGTAACACAATTTCGATTCCTCCTCTTTTTTTCAACACATATGGAATTAGATGTTGTGCAAAACATCCTTTTCTACACAAAAAGATTTTAGTTTGCATTTTGTTTTTGTCAAGTGATTAGGTAATCGAATTATTCTGCAACTGCATTTTAATTCCTTGGTGGTAGAAAAGAAAGCTATGTCATATTGTTGCAAATATATATCATAAGTGATTAAGAAAGGTAAAGAATAATGAACCTAGTTTAGAGTTGAAGATAGTGAGTAATTATCAGAAACAATATTAGAATCGTTCTGCAGAGAATAATAAATAAATAATTGTGAAAAAGAACACCTGCATCACTGTTGTTCCAATCACAAATGCAATTGGAAGTTGATGCCTACTAATCCAATTATTTTTTTAGGGTATAATTAAATTTGTAAGATTAGTGAGTCTGACCATATTTAGAAAAACATAACAATTCTACCTTAAATACCATATTTACCTATTTTCTCAACATGCAAACAGTGACATTAACATTATCTGCACTAAACGCTAGCTCCTCAACTACTAAGTATTGCAAAATGCACTCTTCAACTTTTAAAAAGGGGTAATTATAGAAAGATAAATTTTTGAAGGCGGTTTTATAGAGCCATGGAGTCAAAGTCAACCTTTGTTTACAGTAATGAATTTTAATAAAAATTTGAACGGGACATGAAAAAATACTATTCATTTACAAAAACTCTCTTAGTTTTGTCATATATCTTTTATGTATATATGTACAATTGTTGCACACAGAGGTACCACCATTATGCATATATGTACTATTTTTGTGTAAATCAAGTCATCAAAATTGTTTGCACAAAAGAAAGTATCAGCATTCACAAACAGTGGTATCTTTATACACAAGAGTGGTGCATCTGTGCACAAGAGTGGTACTTACATATACAAAGTGCGTGAAAATACTAAGGTTGTGTTCACATGAATGAAATTAAGCTTTATAATTGAAATTGATGAAATTAGAAAAAAAAAATTCAAGAATTCAATTTTATACAACCGAACATAACCTAAGGACAATTTGGATAAATAGTCAATTATTTTTCATGTCCACCTCAAATTTTGAACAAAATTCATAATGGTAAAAAAGGTTAACTTTGAATCCATGACGATGTAAAAATGCCTCCAAAAGTTTAATACCATCCTCTCTCTCTTTTTTTTTTTTATTCAAAATGTGTAAATTGTGTGAAATTCAATTGAAAATGGGTTCAAAATGTGTGAATTGTGTCAAATTCAATTGAAAAATTCACAAATTGGGCTCAGTTCTGTTGGCAAATTATAAGCCGGTGGGCTCAGGCCTGGGCCTCAAATAGGCTACGTTTGGAATGGTTACCAATACGACGTCGTGTTGTCGTGCAGTGAGACTGAAATCTTCATTTTCAACCCAGTCCACCCACCATTTCCTGTATCGTCTGGGGTTAAGCTTTTCGATCTCACAAGAGTTCATTGACAAAGGTCAGAGCCATGGCTTCGTCATGGGCAGTGATGGCGGCTCGTCAAGCCTCAACCCTAACTCGGCTCTCCTCTTCGAAGTCAGCATCAACTCAAGCCGCTTCCCTAATTCACCGCCGTGGCCTTGCTGGCTCTGCAGGTAATAACCTCCTCTCTAAATCTCAACGCAAAATTCAAATGGATTCGATCCAGTGATCTGATATATATATGTGTGTTGTGTGTGTAATGTTGTATTCATATGTTCATATATATATGTCTATTTCTTGTAATATTTCCAAATTGATTAGAGACTGTTTATGCACCCCTAGAATTTATTGTAGATCTATATGTGAAGCAAACTTAAATTAACAATCTATAAGCTATAACAGAATGTGAAAGTTCAAATCAAACTGTGGTTAATTTGCTAAATCAAATTTATTACACAAGCTAGAAAAAAACCTCAAGTACTGTTAGTTCCAAAAATCCCACTAAACACAGTTTAAATTGAGAAAATTAAGCGAAGTTAACACACATAAACAAGGGAAAACAATGGCTGGACTCTAATGCCTGGGGACTGGAAATAAATAAATAAATTGACTAAACCAACAATTACTTGAATTTAGTAAAGAAGAGGAACGAAGTAAGGAAAATCGAAATTAGTTCTTTATGTTAATGGCAATGTAAGTTACTATTTTTAGCTACCCATCTCTTGTTCGGTGTAACCTTGGTTATATTGAAGAATTTTTTACTACTAAAATTTAAATACCCACAACGTTCATTCACCCGATATCGTGGTTATCCCTTTTTTTTTTTTTTTTTTTTTTTTTTTTTGGCTTTTGCAATATTCTTTTTGTGGACCTTGAAACCCCTTTTTAATGTATAAAAATAGAATTTTCAAAAGAAAATGAGCGTTTTGAGTTAAACTTATTCGAGTTCCCTTTGAATACATGAAGATTGTTTTATATTTATACATTAAAAAGGTCTAGTGACTTTAAAGGTACCGTGATTGAGGTATTTTCATTCAAAGATTCAATATTTACTCATTAAAACACTCTTTGTGACTTCAAAAGGAACTCCAATAAGTTTAACTCTCTTTTTCTTTCAGTTTTTATTATCATTTTCATGATTCCATATCCAGTTGGTGTGGCTTTACTGTACATATTATCTGCAAGTGGAATGATACACACACACACACACACACACACACACATATATATATCATAAATATTATTGACTCTGTGAATTATTAATGATTTTTTATTTGATATTTTTTTAGATCACCATGGACCTGCAAGGGTTAGCTTTTGGAAAGACCCGATGAGTCCATCTAAATGGAAGGAAGAGCATGTGAGTCTTATTCCTGTTCTTGAAACGTAAAATTTGTTTTGTATGTACTCATGATGGTGCGTCATTAGTCTTCCAAATAGATCAATGGAATTGGTAAAAATTGTTGGAGCTTCACATTAAGTTTGAGCATCTTTAATTTCACATGACTGACCTTTAATATTGATATATGCAGGTCTCGTAGTTTCACAGTTTGCCCTCTCTCTCATTACACACTCACACAAAATCATTTGAAAGTTTTACTATATATATATTTCTTTTTCTACTTTGTGTCTAGTATAATAATAGTAGGGGTATTAAACTTAGTCAAGAATTCAATAAATTATCTTAACCAGAATGCAAGAGGAAGGGTCAATAAAATATCGTCGTTAGAAAAAATTGGTCCTTTGGAATAGAAATATAGAAATAATGTAAATTGATGTGTAGAAAGTTTCCTAAAATTTACTTTTTTTTAATTGTGAAATTGACCATCTTAAGAATGGGGTGAATGAAGATCATTTTATGCTCATTTTTTAAAATGAGATTTTTTTTCCCCTCGGGAATGTAGTTTGATGACTAAATACTTATCCAGTTTCGAAGGAAAATTCTGAAATAGCTGCAAGAAAAGTCGTGTCACTGTTCACATTCCATAATTTTATGTAGTCATAAAAAACATGTTTACAAAATTAGGGGTAGTTGACATGAGAGTTGAGATGTATAAGTAGTCGTACAAGAAAAATAGATTACAGATAAATTCATTCAGGAGATCTTTGAGCTAATTAAAGGAATATAAGCATTTGTAAGATGTTCAAGGTAGATTAAAAAATTATGCATTTGTGATATGATTATAAATGGTTGCCCTAGTAAAGGGGATGGATTTGATTTAAAGTTGATGGTGCTACAAGGATTGAAGGGTGGATAGAGAATGTGAGTTGAGGCAATACGTCATGGCCTAAGTAAAATATATTTTTTTTCCCTACAAGCGTATAGCTCCTATATGGTGCATATAGTTAATAAAATTTTAAAAAACTAAAATATGGTGAAAAAGACATGATTGCCAATAATTTAATGAAAGATTTAGCTCTTAGGATAGCTAAATCGTGCAGAGGATTTGCTTTGTTGTCTAAAGTAGTTTTCTTTCTTCCCTAGAGATGGCATTTTTCTTTTCAACATTTCAGCATCTGATTATTATTATTATTATTTTTTAAGGGAAGTGCATTTTGAATGATTTTACTGAAGGTTTGGCTTTGTTTTTCTGTGATGACTTTTGTTTTTAACGATGATTTTATAGCTAATAGAAGGGCTAATTATTTATTTGATGTGTTGTGATTTGTTACGTCTCTATTCTTTATTTACTGAACTTATTCTTGGTTTTGTCACTCTACCTTCTATTCTTTCAAATATTTTGTGTTTATTGTTGTTGAGGTTTTCTAATATTATTGGGGAAACAGGTTGGAAACTGCATTCACGATTTATCTTTACATTTTGCAGTTTGTGATTATCTCTTTATCTGGCTGGGGTGTGATTTTCTATTCGGGGTACAAGTTCTTCACCGGAGGCAAGAAAAACAATGAAGAGGTACTCTTTTTTAACCTTTAAAACTGTGGATCTCTATATTTATTTCTTCATCTGATTCAAGCATCAGGTATTTTAAACATCGTATTGCTAATAAGATTATGGGGTTTATTAATTTTTTCTTTATCAACTTTCATTTAATTTTCTATTATGTATAGCAAGACAATTCCGCAAATGAAATTGATATAATGGATGTTGTTTTTAATTCACGGAAGGCCATATAGAAACACCTTTATGCGAATAACTCATTAGCTAGTCATGGGTTCTACTAAAGTCACAAATTTACTGTGTTAAGCAAGGAATTGTTTGTCATCTCTATGTGCCATTTGACTTGAAGTGAAAATGGAAAATTTTGAAAATGCAATTGAAATTTTAAGAATCTGGAAAGTGGAAACTCATGGATGGAAAAATGAAACAAGACTTATTTCTATGTGGAGATAAGCCTACAAAATGACCAACAAAACTGATTGCATTTGAAGCCTATGAATCTATCTTTACTAAGAGGCCCTGGTTTATACTGGAGATTTTGTGCCAGTTCTGCTAATCCAGGAATTTCATCAAAACAATGCAAAAATTCCTAAAAGTTCCAGCGTTGTTCTTGCCTATGCGAGGTGCTGGGAGGGGAAGGTTGGACACAGACCTCATCTTTTGCATTTTGCACAAAGTGGCTCCTTTAATACTCCAACTTCTTTCAAGATTTGTAGACAATGGCTCGAACGATAGTAAAAAAACCTCTACTAGCACCTATTTTGGAAGTCACAACCACATTGTTATTCCGGATACTGATTTAATAATATTATATTTCAGTCTGGAATTTTACTTTCACAATATCCGAAAGAGCTTCCTATCAGATACTTTGGAAATGTTAATCATAATAATTTCTGGCATTAATGACCTTTTTGGGGCTCATAAAGCTGTGTGATCTCCACAGAATACATGCTTCTGCTTCAATTATTATGCATCGGAATCCATTCTTCACTCTTGAGGCTCAGCTGCAGTGTATCTTTTATTCAATTTGTCTTATCGTTTCATTGATGCTCTAGTTCCTTAAGTCTCAAATTAAAGGAATTATCAGATTGATGAAATTTTTTGTGAGAAGGAGTCTGGTAAGCACTGGCCAAAAAGGCCCTAGCTGAGTATTCGTTGGTTAATCATCCAATTTTATGACCAACATCTGAGTACTTGTATATAAGGGCGCCGGTACTAAACATACTACATTCATCATATGATTTCAGCTTTTGCTGACTCATTATTGTCTGTTTACAGAAATTGGCGGAAGCATCACACTAGGATGTGGGGTTTTAGTGTCATCATCCACAAGGCTTCTTAATAATGTCTGTGATTGGACTTCACATCTGCTGGGATCGCGTCTTCTTTGATTGGAGATAGTCGAGTTTGTCAGTGTCAATAAATTTTGGAGAATGACGAGTGATGGATTTTCAGATTTTAGGTACATTGTATGATTTGTGAAACAATCCGCTCTTTTCTTTTGCTTGTTTTTTGGGGGCAAATTTGATCATCTGAGGTGTACCTTCGATGTTCAAATGGTAAGCTGCTCTTAAGATTACCGTAATATCTCAACTCTGTTCATCATGTACTCTGGAAGCCAATTAATTGTGATTTTCTGGAGAATTGGCATAATCTGCTGCTTTTCATATCTGAAATTGCATTGTTAGATATAATTATCATATAGCCTCAAGTCTACCTACTTGTCATAGTTTATCTACTCGAAGACTTGTTATTATTGTTAAAATGGAATAAAAAACTTAACCACATTGAATAAAAACTAAGAATAAAGGTTGTGTGCAACACACATATAGTGATAACATTGATCAATATACATGTGAAATTGATTTAATATGTAATATGTTACATATAGTGGTTTCTGTTTGGTGTTATTTGAATATAGCACACTTAGCTCTAATGCAAGCTGTTGGAAACAATGCCTCTGCTAATTTGTTGGAAAATATAGGTCACTGCTCCTAAAGGATTATGTTTACTGATAATGTAGTTGAATCATAATGTAAGCTACAGATGTAGAAGTTATGGAACATATAAACTTTATGGAGAAAGAAAGATGAGAAGTCACTGATTAAACTGGAAGAGTTATATTCAATCAGAAATAGCACTTCGAATTAATAGCAATAATAGGAAGGGAAGTAGGGTAGATTAGTACTGTACTTATTTCGTTTTCTCGATCTCAAATGCAACGATATTACATATCTTCCATTATTATGGTTTCATTACATTTCTACATATTGAATATTGACGAACACATTTACCTCTCTGAGTGACGAATTATGTTGTTTTGAGGCTTCATCCCGTATTATTTCATAACTTATATTTCTGCTTCTTATAATGAGGTTTTTTTGATACAGCTATCGCTCTGCCATACTATTTAAACGTGTTGTTTATCTTCAAATGCTTATTACTAATATGTACCTGATTCTACTTTTCCCGGAAAAAAAAAAAATTACGTTACATTTTGTGGTCCTTAATTTTAAAGTGAATCTTGTTCAATCCATTGTTCGTCTTGGTTACAGCCCTTAGCAAATCCTAGGCTATTGGTAGATAACACATCTTTATACGCAAGAGAATGTGTTCGTGCCTTGTGGTGCTGTGCGTGTGGGAAGGAGGCTGTGGATTAGGTTGGTCTAATAATTTGTTTTAAAAGTAATAAAGTTAACATGAGAGAAATTAGCTAAAACTCGGGCTCATCTGTTTGCTCGTTGTAGCTTTCTCTATCTTCTTCTGACTCGGATCTGGATTCCCTTAACAAATCTGTTTCTGCTTCTTTAGTGTCTGTAATCTCGGAATCATCCTCCTCTTGTTCTTCGTACTTGTCAGCAACTTTTACTTCTTCTGAATCGCTATCTACCCCTGTTTGTTGTTCGATGTGATTGATCACTTCCGCTTTGGCTTCACCTGTTTTCTGTTTTCCAGCAGCACCAGCATTTCCATTGACAGTTCTGTTCTTTGGCACATCATCTGGGCTATGAAGAGGCTTCTCAGAATTTTCATCTTCAACATCCACTTCTTCTCCTTCAGTTTGTTGATTTCTAACTTTGAAGATCACATTTTTAGCATCTTCAGGGTTTTGAGGCTTCAGCAATTTAACATCATTAGAAGCAATTGCTTCTAAAACTTCCTTTGTACTTTCTTTACCCTTTGCTCTCTCCTCAAATTCAACCTGGTCATCATTTCTCGTTTCCAAGCTTTCGCTGTGTTGATGTTTATGATGTGCATCTAGCTTACCACTTTCCCGACCTGATTCATCTCCCACCTTCAAGCTCATGTTATGGTTTCGGTGTCTGTCAAGTTTCTCCAGTTGCCAATCTCTAAGTCGCTTGTAGGCTTTACTTCCCATTCCATCTTTAGTAGATTGTATGCTTCCGATGCTCACATCTTCATTTTTCTCAGAACTCTCGCCATTTTTGTACCCCTTGTTTTTAGAAAGGGTTCTCCATCTCTTCCCCATTAACTTGCTGGCAAAGCCATGTTTGCTTCTCACACTGAGACCTATATTCACCCCAACTTTCCGACCTTCACCATCTTGGAAATTAAGTTTTTCTAACCGCCCAATTTCAGCAATTTCATGTTCCTTTGCACCCATTACTTCCCCGTCGCTAGTTCCATCTATAGTTTGTGAAACTTCACCACCATGATTAATGATGTGGGTTGCATTTGCAATTTTATTTTCCTCTCCTACGCCGAAACCTTCACCATCCTCCGAATCTCCCATTTTCTTTCCTTGGCCTCCATCACCTTGAGAATTTTCCCTCCTATCAACAAATCCGACTCTGTTTTCTCTCCTATCTTCATTGTTTGATGAATTCTCTTCATCTCCGTTTCCGTCTGCACTTCTCATTGTATTCTCACCAACTCTATAGCTGGTTGATTCAAGTAATCCCCCAGTCTTATCTTTAATACCACTTATTTCCGATTTATCCTGCTGCGCCATACTTCTTGATGGGTCATCTGTACTCACTGACCAGACATTAACAGGATTTTCGAGACGGTGCTTAAGATCATCGATTTCAGCTTCCTTCTGCTTCAAGATTTCTGTAAGAGCTACTACTTGATTCTCGTTATGTGATGCCATCTCTTCACGAGGATGCAGTTTGTACTCCTTCTGCTTCTCCTCAAGTGCCAACTCCATGGTTCTTACTTCATCTTTTAAGGAAGAAATTGTGGACTGCATCTCCAATATCTTGCCGTTAAGCTCCATCTTCTTGGTTTGTAGGGAGTAATACTTTGCTTTCATGTCTTCACTTTGTTTTTTTACGTCTTTGCTATAATCTCTTTCCTTCTGTAGCACAAAAGAATGAACACTGTTAGTTGGATCCAACTGTAGAAATCACTCATCGCATGAGTTGGTCTAAAAATCATCCATTTTTGTAAGAAAATTTAACATAACATGAATTTCTAGTCAAATCGATCACAGATTGAATGTGAAAAATTGCAATTATGTTTAGCCAAACTGTAATTTTTTTTATTGCATGTCAGTTAAAAGTTATTCAAGAATTCATGTCAGATCACATGATAGGAGTGTTCATTTTTTATCTTATAAAAATGTTATGCCTATATTCACAAGAATTTACCCGCGGAAGTTACATTGGTTTTACATTTTCAGTCACATTTTTTCTCACATAGAGCAGATTGCAGCGTGAATGGCCAACCAGCCTGCACAGGTTTATTAGAATTTTGTTTTGACGGAAAAAAAAAAGTTTTGGATATCCGTGTTTTCTGTCTTTATTCATTAGATAAGATGGGTCCAATCCCTCTTTTTAATGCATATTATGGAGTATTATTTAGTCCAGAAGTAGTCATTTGAAAATGAGTATTGCTAACAGATTTTTTTTTTCACAAAAGGCCAACCCTCTATGAATGCAATTTCCAATGCAGGCATAGGCTATTGCCCAGTGCAATGGGCACTGGGCAAAGTTTGAATCCCCAATTATGAGAATCAATGCAGACTCAATTTCCAATACATCTTCACGTATATAGTTCACCTCATCCAGTAATATTATCATTTAATAATAATAATAATAATAATAATAACCTTCCCTTCTCTCTATCTACTCCATGTTCCATCTCATGAGCATCCTCAGTTAATGAGGATGAACATTAGTTCTTCCTCAGTAGTCATGGAACCAGTACGGATAATGGACTTTCTATGCATGCATGTATATGTGTGTGTGTGTGTATATATATATATAGAGAGAGAGAGAGAGAGAGAGGACTGGCCTGCAAGAGGAGTTGGAGAGAAATGAGGTCACGGTCTTTTTGTTTGAGGAGGAGGTTGAAGATGCGTCTCTCTGTGAGCTTGTGGAGGACCATCACTCCAAAGATTGCAGCCCCAAAACCCAGAACCAACATCACACCAACTTGATATGCCTTCCCTCTCTTCACACCACTACTACTACTACTGTGCCCCTTCATTGATCCACCCATCTCTCTCTTCCACAATCAACAAATCATATATATATATATATATATATATATGAGTCTCTCTCTCTCTCTCTCTCTCTCAGAGATCTAATAATGAGTAACATGCAATTAAAGAAGAGGAAGAAGGGTAATATCTCTTTCTCTCTCTAGCTATCTCATCATATCATATGGGGGCTAAATTTATGTCACAGCTTGCTTGTTGCTTCTCACCTAAAAGGGACCGTCAAACTGCATTCTCTCTCTTTCTCTCTCTACACCACTAACAATAGCGGAGTAAACCAGAAGGTTGAAGCTGCATGGGAATTGTGCCAAGGCGCTGATTCGGGCGACTTTTTCATTTTTTTATTTTACTATTTATTTACTCCATCCAGAATTACACTGATACAGATAGGTAGACTCGTACTAGTAATTTACTACATTAACCTCAGTACCTTTGCTTTGTCCGAGAACAATTTTGAAATTTTAAACTAAAAAATATATAGGCCAATTTGAATCAATTTGACCCTAGTCTAAAGACACGATTACAATTGTAAATCTCACCAAACCTTGTCCCGAATTCGACTTAAAAACAAGGCAAAATTAGTACCAAGTCCTAACTTTTTTATTGAAAGATAAATAAGTCATTAAGAACTATAAGTCATAGTTTGAGATTTGTTTCTATTTAATTTTTTTTTTTCCTTTTTTAATTGGTACTCATATACATCCTTTCAAAAATTGTTTGCAAATAAAATAAATGGATCTGAGCATTTAAGTCCTGTATTACTAAATCTTCTATTTATATCTTTGCTAAATAGAAGTAAAAATTTATTCAAGAATTAATATATAATAATTTTTTTTTTTTTTGTATATATTCTTTTAAATTTTAGTTACTTGACAATATTAGATTATGAGTTTAAATAATAATTAATCTAATTTAAATTTAATTCAAAAACTTGTATAGAATAAACTACCAATATATATATATATATATATATATATATATATATATATATATATATATATATATAAAATCAATAAAATGTATTTTTTTCCTTTTTTTTTTTTCAAATTTTATGTCTGATTTTGTAAGAGTGTATATGAAAATATGAGCCTAAATTTTATATCTAATTTTGTAAGGATAGAAATGAAAGATTTAGTAATTTAGGACTTAAATAAAATAAAATAAAATTTATCTCAAAAGTAAGACTTATTAGCCATAAATAAATTTTAGCAAAACACAAATTGGAGTAAATTTATTTATTTTTTTTAAAAAAAATCTCAAAGAGGGGACTTCTACAATTATTATGTCAGTTAATAAGAAGAGAATTGAATGTCCAAAAACAACCCTCCCTTTGTTCAGAAAATGGCAAGAGTGGACTTCCCAAAGCAGGAAAACCTCTATTTTTCTTTAATCCTTTTAAATGAAGAAAGTACTAATATTCCTTTAATCTATATTTTACTCTCTTAGTAATACTACTCAAATGATAAATAAATAAATCAAATAACAAAGTCCCTTTCAGTGAAAATTGTATTACCGAAAAGATAAATATAAAAATTTATATGTGTATATATATATATATGTACCACTCACACGTTGTCCTATGTTTAGTAAATTAAGACAATAGAATATCGTTTAAGAATTTAAAAAATAAATTAAAATGTGGGCTTTGCGTTTCTCAAGGCGTAAGGAATTTTCGGAGCTTTTAGTCAAACGAGAGAGTTGGGAGAAGTGTCCCTGAGGCATTTTAGCAATTTTTGTTTTTTCTGATAAATTTTAATTTTTCATGCTAACTAAATGAATTTTAAAATTTTATTTTCCTTTCTGATAAAAATATATGAAAATTTATTTTAAAAATAACATGTTTTTATGCATAACTTTGATAAAACTAATATACTAGTTATATATCTTTAGGTGTCCTACAATTTTTTTTAAAATTAAATTCTTATATTGTTTTTATTTTAAAAATAAATAAATATATATTTTTAAAAATTTATTTTCATATTTAATAAAAACCTTGGTGGGGCCACAACATTGATGCTTCTTCTGTCGGCACAGGCCGAAATCATCCTGAGTTTCCTTTTATATAAGGTCCCAGTCCTTCATGGAACTTAAAAAATGTATAGTGTAAGTCCCAATTCTGAACCATTGATTTACATAAGGTGGGCCCAATTCTCTGCAATCAGGTAATCCCTTGTTTCTTCTTCCTCTCCTCAGCCAGGGCCGGCCCTGGCCCAAGGGGACCAAGGCGGTGGCCTTGGTCCTCAGATTTTAGAGGGCCTCAAATTTTGAGGCCCATAGGGGATGAAAAAAAAAAATAAAAATAAGTTAGGGCAAGTTTCAGACGACAATCTGCTTCGACACTCAGCAGGGCGCAGCCTCCGCTATCGCCTCAGGTGACAAGGTATGTTCATCCTCTTTCTCTCTTCTGTCCCCTTTTGCACGAATTGATCTTTTATATATGTTTCTTTCTCTCGTTTATCTCATCATTTGATTTGTTCTAACTTTGGTTCGTTTGATTCGGGCCTTCCAATAGTGAAAAGTAGCTAGGGTTTTGTGTGTGTCACTGTGTGTGTGATGGCTATCAAAAGCTGAATGAATATATTATGGTTCTCTTAGTATTTTAATAAATGTGTGCCTTTCTACATGTGTCTTTCATGGCTATCATAAGCTGAATGAGTCCATAATCTATGGCAGGTACTTTTTTTTTTCCTCTCCCTAAGTCCACTCCAATCTCACAACAGCAGCAGCCATACCCTTTTCCTCATAATTTTATGCATTTTCACATTCAATCCCACGAAAATTAAGGATCCCTTCTAGTGGGTTGAGGTAATTATTAACTTTTTCGATCTCTAAATTATGCTCATAATTAAAAGGGCCAAATTAAGGATATTTTTATTTTTATTTTATTTTTATATGAAGATACATACCACCATTATTGATGTTATTTGAAGTTGGCTTAGCTAGAATACTGTCAAAGCACTTGCCATCAGAATGTACAAACACATGGAAATCAAGAGCAGGCTTTAACAAAACAAAAGTTAATGGTTTTTTCTATTAATTTGCACAGGTCATCTGTAGCAATGATCAATCAATCACTGCGGGTTATTGGCTCCCAAAAAAACACACAACAAAGTGTAGTGTAGTTAATATATGTGGCCTCCACTGTATATGATAGTGGAGGCCACATATAACCTAAAAGTCCCACTACTTCTTCAGTACTACAAGGTCAGCCTCCTATATATATATATATATATATATATATAGTCACCTCATCTCCACATATTTTTGTCATCTGTAATCATCAAATTTTAGTAGCTATATAAACAATGAATGTAAAAGAAGCTGCAGTTTTCTGTTCTCTAGTAAACTGTTCTCTTCATTTTTTTATTTTGTGCCTGTGAAAATTTCGCACTCTTTAATTGATAAATTTATTGTTATTAGTTAATTGTCTTATGCACATTGCACATGCGCACAATTATTTATTGGTGGTGATAAAAATTTATAGTTATTAGTTAGTTGTCTTAAGCACACAACACATGCGCACAATTATTTATTGGTAGTGATTGATTTATACTTATTAGTTAGTTGTCTTATGCGCATTGTACAGACGCACAATTATTTGTTGGTGGTGATAAATTTATAGTTATTAGTTAGTTGTCTTTTGCACAATGCACAAGGGCACAATTGTATTAGCTATAGAATTTGAAAACATTGTGGTAAAATTTCGCACTCTTATAATTCTTTTTTGCGCATGTGAAACTCAAGGCCTCACATTTTAAAGTTCGCCTAGGGCCTCTCAAAATATTTGGAATCTCAGGGCCGGCCCTGTCCTCAACACTTCCTCTCTCCACGTTCAATCATGGACGCTCAACAACCCGATATCACAGACATCTTCGACTCTTTACTGAATCTAGAAGAAATCCATGTCAATGATGGCTTCGAAGAAGGCTATAACGACGGTTTAGTCCCAGGAAAAGACGAGGGACGCCAAGTGGGTCTCAAAACGGGGTTCGAAATCGGCGAAGAGTTAGGTTTTTACAGAGGCTGTATCAATGTTTGGAACTCTGCAATTCGAGTTGATCCGACTTGCTTTTCTCTTAGGGTCCAAAAAACCATCAATCAGATGGACGAGTTGGTCCGAAAATACCCAATTTTGTACCCAGAAAACGAGTTCGGGACCGATATTCTGGACTCTTTGAGGTTGAAATTTAGGGCTATTTGCGCCACTTTGAATGTGAAATTGGAGTACAGTGGGTACCCAAAGGCTTCAGATTCTAAGGGCAGTGAGTTTTGAGTGAGGTCTCTTCTGTTAATAGTTCGTGTATTCCTTAAATTTTGCTGATTTTATACAATGTTCTATCTACTGGAAAGTTATTCATTCTTGCTTTTGTTAAAGTGTTAATTTGTATTGCTTAATTGTTATTATTAGGGTTGTGATTGTTCTGGGTAGTTCAGAATTTCTATGAATTTTTTGTATTGATTGCAATAGTCAACTGAATCCTCATAGAATTAATGGAAATTTTGTCTATTACGATTTAAATCTAACACAAGGACATTCTAGTTCTGCATAACCTACTTCAATTGGTGTTCAAGGTGCATTATGAAGAAGTTCTTTAATATCGTCTGGGGTGTTTAGTTTCTTATTATTGATGTAATGCATGAATACTTACTGCTTAATTTACACATTTTGGCTGTTTTAAGCTGAAATTCGTATTAGTGTTCAGTAATTTTATTTAGAATGTTGCAAGGCGCTTCTATCAATTGAAGCTGATTCTTGAAATTTTTTACTTTTACCGCTGGTACAATCTGGGGGTTGGATAATATGTGATTCTGTCATGGACAAATGATGACCACAAAGTTCTTTGTGTGTCCTTATATTGTTTCTGACTCTCTTTTTGTGCAGTTTGTGAAGGGTTAGGAAAATTAAAAATGTTACAGTTGATGCTTGCTTGCTGCAAGGTCTACATATCTGAAAGCCGGAACAGGGTTGCACTCGAGTCAATTGAACGAGCTGCCAAGCTATTTCGAGAAGCTGCTATTATCAATAAATTTGAAGATGAGACTTACAATAGAGTGGGATACACCCTTGTTTCTAAGTTGGCTCCAAAGCCATCTACGGATTCATGTCCCTTAAGGAGTGCTGTGCTTGCCATGGTCAAAGCATCTTTTGAAGCCATTGATCTTGAGTTGCATCGCGGAAGTCATCCACGGCTTGGCGTTGTGGACCACATTTGTTTTCACCCCTTAGCTCATACACCTCTGGACCAAATTGCTGGGATTGCCAAGTCTTTGGCGGCTGACATTGGCTCCACTCTTCAAGGTCTGTGCCCTTGGAACTTCATGAAAATGTAGATGGTTGTATAATTGTCGGATTGCTGTAAAAGGATATAACATAGAGTTTCATGGGTCCATTATCTTATAATGGATTGATAAGTGTCGTTTGGAAAATTGAGATGTGGCTATCCAAAAGGATGCTTCACAGGAGAAGGCTCCTGATGGAAGGTCATCAACCAAACAGAGCCAGAGAAACAACAGATTTTATTTCATGTTTGGTGTAGTTCTTGAATTTCCCTTTATCTTTGTCATATATATATTTTTCCCTTTTTTAATGTTCATCACAAGTCATATGATTAGAAAGAACAGTTAGCCGAACCAAAATTCAGTGGATTGATGCCTAAACCCTTAATCTTAATGACTGGATTTGACGATGCAAGTCTGCGTTCAATATATCAAATGTCAATGTCGGTTCATTAAAAGCAAGAGCCATTAAGCCTTCCATTTTCTTCCAGTAACACACTACAGCCCAAGTGTTTTTTTTTTTTTTTGACACAGTACTCTTATGCCCCCCGGCAAGTTTCTGATATTAAAATGTTATTCTAAGTTGGGTATGTTTATGTATGTGTGTATATATATATGTTCATTGTTGCCTCTACTTGCGTATTATAAATGACATTAGAGTATTAGACTGGATATTGATCCGGTGTTTTCTTGTTCTGTACAAATGACAATCTATAATTCAACACTTCTTCACTTTTAGGATTCCCAAAATGACCTAATTTTTATTACTTATGGCAGCTTCATGGGAATTGTCATAATATTATGAATTTTGCTTGACAAGGTTCCATGTGACATCTGAACACCTGATTGTTAATTTCTTCATTTTCTGGAAGATTCTGTGTCACAATATATTAATTTATTAATGGTAGGACTTAGTATTGGAAATTACCCGTGTCTTTATTTTTGTTTTGCCTTTTTTTTTTTTTAATTTTTTGCTTTGCTAATGATCTTGAACATAGTGATCCTGCAGTCCCGACCTTTTTATATGGAGCAGCCCATGAAGAAGGAAGAACACTGGATTCAATCAGAAGAGAGTTAGGGTACTTCAAGCCTAATCTTAGTGGGAACCAGTGGGCAGGTGGGCCAAGATCAGTGTGCTTGCCACTGAAGCCAGACAAGGGTCCAGTTCAAGCGGTTCAAGGAAAAGGTGTCGTTGTAATTGGAGCAACACGGTGGGTCGATAACTACAACATCCCGGTCTTCTCCACTGATATTGCTGCTGTTCGGAGAATTGCAAAGAGGGTAAGTGGGAGAGGAGGTGGACTCCCAACTGTGCAAGCCATGGCACTTGTTCATGGTGAAGATGTCATTGAGGTTGCTTGTAATTTGTTGGAACCAAGTAGAGTTGGAGGGGATCAAGTTCAACTTGAAGTTGAGCGGCTTGCACAGGAAGAGGATTTGACATTGGGGAAGGGATATTTTACCGATCTTCCACAGGAAAAAATAATTGATAGTTACTTGAAGTTGGATTACAAGTCTTGAGTAGAAAATTGACATGCCCTGTTCCATGAGTAAACGTTTGAAAAGAAGTTTATTCTAGTTGAGAGGTAAATTTCTGATCTTGTATTTTAGTAGTTTTACATATGAATGCAATCACAATGTTTTCCTATCCATTTTTATGAATAAGAAGTTGAAATGTGGGCTTGCATTTAGAACTCTACTTTATATTGATGTTATTTAATCTTGGGTGAAATAGTGAATGTTGGCATTAGAACTTCTCTTCCCTAACACAGACTACTAGTCCTCCTAAAATATCAGAAGCCATGTAAGTATTTGCATCTGAATAGAAGGAATCTATTTAGCTTTTCAAAGAATAAGTTGTCATTAAAGATTCACATATGGAGAGCTTACTAAGTTAATGATTATAGCCATTCAACACTTGCTAAATTTCTGAAAATGAGAGCTTGCAAAGATCACAAATAGGCAACCACAGCTGCTATGATAGAGTACCACAAGGAAGTATTTTAGTTTACATTATTCCAATTCACAATTGTTTGCATGAAGATGTATTAATTTAGAGATGAATTGAGGATTCTGATCGCAGTAGCGTCCAGGATGACAGGATGAGGCAGAAACAATAGAATTCCTAATGTTGTATTATATATAGCACCTAAAAGAGTATAGTTTGGTCTTCGTTTACTGTTGTATTTTATGTATTCGAATTGAGTGCTTCGTGTTCTCTTAGATTCAGGGAATGCTCTTTTTATTGAAAAGGAAGAAAACCGAAAAGGAAAATTGCAGCACCATTGTCATATCACCAAACCTAAGAAGAAAGGTTGGGATCTGAGGATGGTAATTGATCTTAGTTCCAGTCATATTTTAATTTGTTTTCCGGCTATGGAATCTGGATGATGAATTTGTGGCTTAGCTTGAGGCTTAACTTGCTTTGGAAGGTTTAGGAATCAGATCAGTATTACTATGAGTTGATGTCTATTGCCTAATACTGATTGAAGTGAATTTTAGGAAATTTGCTGCTTAACTTACTTTTGGAATCAGTATTACTATGAGTACTAGATGCCTTTAATTTCAGTGAATCAATTCTTCTTTTATATTTACTTTTAGTTAATGAATTTTTATACTTTCTAACACCCAAAAAAGGAAAAAGAACAATCTCAGAAGGAAGAAGAAGAAGTTGAAGTTGAGATAGACATGTGAATAGACCACCAAACTACTAATATAAATTAATAATAAAGGATAAGGTTATCTGTCCCCTTTAAATTGTTCATCTCTTTTTTTAGTTGAATTTGTTTTGTTAGTCCCTTTCAATAATTGTTTAGCAAATAAGCTCTCTTATGTCTTCATCATTTATTTGTTATTCTTTCCTGGACTTATTTGAACTCATTGAGTTACCTTTTTCGCATTTTTGGTGTACTCTCTCTTTCAGAATTCATTCAGGTATTCCCTTTCTTTCCTCTTCTTTTTTTATTTACCCTCCCTCTCTCTTAAATCTTCTCAACCATATAAAAGTAAATAATTTTCTTCTCCCTTCTTTTTTCACTATTTGTTTTCCTCGTCTCTTTTCGCACACCAATTAGTATGGTATATTGAGAACGGTCGGATATTTCATTGTTAACTTGAGAGGTTAAAATGAAAGTTCCGAGTTCAAAACGGAAAATAATTTTTTTATCCTTGAAAATAAAAAACAGTTTCTCTGTATATTTTGTATACAAAAAAGAATTAATGACCGAATTAGTGTGGAACCTCATTAATAATTATTGAACTTTGTAAAAAGTAGGTAAAGTTGCCTCACGAAATGTTAGTTCAAAATAATGTGGTACGGAATAGTAGTTTAGGGTCCCTGAAAGATGGTCCACCATTAACTACTCATAGAAAGTCGGTCCAAGAAAAATATGAAAATTAAATAATTAAGCTTTACAACTTCATTATAGTCGTGGCATTTCAAGTTCCATTCAATCCTCTCTCATGTTAATAAATTTCTCTCTTTTTTTTTTTAATTAAAAAAAATACCTAATTATTTTACTTAATAGTGTGAACCACGTGATGTGACAGCCTTACCCTTATCCAGAAATCCTAGTAATCCCATATCCCTTATCTGAATTTGTTGAATAAAGAAGTAAATGACACAGCTAGCAAGCTTAAGTTGAGGAAAAAACTTGTTTGGACAAAAAATTGCGTAATTGTTGTTCAATCTATTTTTTTTTTCTCGAAAGTTGTGTTGAATCAATTTGTTTAACAAAGTAAAGAAGAAAAACTGGTTGTTGTTTTTTTATAAAAAAAATGGATTTATTATTCTCGATTGATCCTATATATGCAATTTAAACGTTGTAACAAAAAGTAGGTCAATGTTGTAGTACCTTCTAATAGTTTTTCCATAACCATTAGCGTGCACCAAAGTTGAGAATCGAATGTCCTAAATTGGCGCATTGGAATTGACTAGGATCCATGTTGGAGCAGTGGCACGTTAAGGTTGTGGGGACACTCTATCAATAAATAATGTGGATATAATATTTTATATGACACCGAATGCCTCATGCGTATATATATATATATATGTGTGTGTGTGCTGTATCGATCATATGCCTCTGTCTTCTCTCACTTGCTCGTGAAACAACAGTAAAGCAAGGAAGGTGAAGCAAAGCATAGAGAAAAAGGAATGGAGTTCAACCCAAGTTGCAAGGTAAGGCGCCTATCTCTCTCTCTCTCTCTCTCTCTCTCTCTCTCTCTCACACACACACACACACACACACAATGGATTTCAAACCAAGTTGCATGGCCCATCTCTCTCTCTATAGATATTATGATTAACATCAATGTCTAGTATTTAGTGAAATGGAGGACAAGGGCTGGGACTGCCTGTGAGGGGTTATATTTCTCTTCTTCTTCTTCTTTAATTTTTTTTTTCCCGATTAGATAATTGGTTTACAAATTAATCAGAGTGCAGATCATGAAATTTGATGTCATAAAATCTACATATTTATTTTTCTGAATAATAGTACTTCAAATAATCCACAAAAACTGTGGATATATGAAGATGATAACTATGCAGAACTACGACAACAACTATGTGGATGTGGAGACAGAGGAAAACCATACACTTGTCCACCAACTAGGGACCCTCTTTTCTTCTCTCCCAACACGTGATACATGCAAGCTGATCTACAACTGGGCTTAAGGGACGGACCGCCCTACACTTGGCCCAAAATTTTACTGGATCACCCCCATTTTTTTTTCAATATTTAATGTATCACCCACAATTTTGTTTATTTTTTATTCTATTTTTTCCTGTTAAATTCACTCTACATTAACTTATATTGAACATCTTAGATGAGTGAATAGTGAATACATACTAATGTTGTTCAGTGGGTTAAATAATACCCTAGGCTAGATAATGAACAATTATCTGGCCCAATAAGAAACAAAACAATACTACAATTTTTTGATTTTCCAAATAAGAATGGTCAGTAATCATCAGTATAGAACAAGAGTATTTCTGTGCAGACTGATTTATTTGTAGGCAACTTTTCATGCCAATTACATTGCAATTATTGGATGAATGGGACCCGCATGTAAGACCTACTCATTCAATCATCTCCATAAATTTTAGTTTAGCAATTTCTAATATATTTTTCTAAAATCTTAATCACTTAATTAAATAATTAGCATCTAGAAAGTCTTTGTCAAATTTGTCAATATCTGTGGTTATATAGAAAGTCTTTGTCAATTTTTTTTTTGAAAAAAAAAAAAAAAAAAGGAGAGAATTAAAATACACACTCCCGCACCGAAATGTGTGTCGTTGTCTCAGGATAATATAATCCCTACTCAACTGCCTAAAAACTAAAAAAGGAAATAAATCCCCATCACTGCTAAAGAAACTTTATGTATACACACACATATGAGAAAAGGATTGCTTGCTTTGCTTTGCTTTCTTGACTCCATTTTAAAGTTCCACATGATAAAGAAGTGAGATTCTTATTCAACTTGGTTTTTCACTAATAATCCAAATATATAAAGTAGGCCCGACTAAATTTAAAAGATGACATGGTGTATAATATGAAAGAATGAAAAAAGAGAATTCACGTTGTGGATCACATCTCTATGGGATAAGGGAAAGGAAAATGATGATGAAACCAAATATATAAAGCAAATGCGACTATATGTTAAAATATGGTTCAAATCAAAACATAGGGAAAATCCATTACAATATTGGTTAAAATCATAGTAAATGTGACTATATGTTAATATATGGTTCAAATCAAAACATAGGGAAAATCTATTACAACATTAGGATCATAATCCGGAACTGAGATCATTAATCTGTGTGTCTGAAGGACAAGAAGAAAACCATGAAGCAATCCATGCTACTCTGCTGCAAGCTCTACATCTCGGAATCGCGGAACAAAGCAGCTCTAGATTCTATTGAACGAGCAGCGAGGAGTGATCCAGAAACGGTCATAGTGAACAAGTTTGAGGATGGTGATTACAACCGCGTGAGGTACACTCTTGTATCTTATGTTGCTCATGATAGCACAGGGTGTCCCATTTACAGCCCCCTGTACCAAACCGTGCTTGCCATGGCTGAAGCCGCTTACGAGGCAATAAACCTTGAGTTGCACTCAGGGGCACACCCTCGGCTTGGAGTCGTGGACGACATCGTTTTCCATCCGCTGGCTCGGGCATCGCTGGATGAAGCAGCTTGGCTTGCTAAAGCGCTTGCAGCAGACATTGGCAACCGATACCAAGGTAATTATAAATCTCATTAACAGCTATTTTGATTGGCATCACTAGGTTTTACATATTCATATGGCACATTCTTTACATTGTTCAAGGTGAGTACAAATCATATTAACAGCTATTTGTGAATTGTGATTGGCATTGAACTGAAATGAAAAGTGTGTAACATTGAACTAAAAATGGTATTTGTGATTGGCATGCTTCAATAGGTTTTACACATTCATATGGTATTATTCTTTACATGGTCTATTTGTGTCTTGTAATTTAAATTTCATTAGAAGTGGAATGTACCTTTGAACAAATATATAAACATAATAGATACAATGATGACACATTATACATATATATGTGTGCGCATATAGTGAATAGCATCAGATATGTTGATACTATGTTTGATATGAGATATTTCTTTTCCATTTCTATAATTTCTTCTTCTTGTATGCAGTACCAGTATATCTATATGGCGCAGCACACCCTACTGAGAAGGCCTTGGACACCATAAGGCGGGAGCTTGGTTACTTCCGGCCCAATTTCATGGGCAATCAATGGGCCGGATGGGGCGTTCCCGAAGTTCTACCTGAAAGGCCTGACGAAGGCCCAGCGCAGGTATCCCGAGCCAGAGGCATCTCGATGATTGGCGCACGTCAATGGGTTGCAACCTATAATGTGCCCATCATGTCTACTGATGTCTCAGTCACTAGAAAGATTGCTCAGATGGTGAGTGCTCGAGGGGGTGGGCTGCCGACAGTGCAAACATTGGGCCTGGTCCATGGTGAGGACTCGACTGAGATAGCGTGCATGCTGTTGGAGCCCAACCAGATTGGAGCAGACCGGGTCCAAAGCCGGGTTGAAATGCTGGCGGCCCAAGAAGGTCTGGATGTGGAGAAGGGGTATTTCACTGATTTTTCACCAGAGATGATTATTGAAAGATATATGAAACTAATCTCTGACACAGCCTAATCAAAGTTCTTGTTCTAATACCTAAAATAGTTGTCAAGACAACCAACAAGACTTGACATTCAATAAATAACATATTTGCTCTTAATTTCATGGTAGAATTGCAAATTTTGAGGATTTTTCTTTATTTATTTTTTGGGGAACTTTGTTAGGACTAATTATGCTGCGTTCTATTTTTTGGTATACAATTTGAAGTGGGAATGAAAATTCAGATCACAATTAAACCTATCAAATCACCATTCTGTTTCAAGTTATTTTTTTTTTAAAAAAATCAAGTTTTCAAATTTTAAAAACACCAATGCGGTTGCCACCACTACCACTTTCCATCACAACCATCCAGAGGTGGAGCCAATATTCTATGGCTGGGGGAGCAAATAATTATTTTTAAAAAAATGTACCACCGGAAAAAAAATAAAAGGATCTAGCATCTATGCATCCAGGGATTTTGTAACTGATTGGCTAAAAAAATATATACATCAATTTAATATTAATTTATCTGCTTATATTTATATGTATATATAAAATTGTATATATTATATATACATATTGTATAAATGTATATCAATAAATATAGTATACCGTATATATTACATATCATTATGCATAGATATATTTTATGTATACAAGAGGATTAAAAAAACCCAAAAAGAAAAACAGGATTAGGACTTTGAAGAATAAAAAAGTAGTCAATTTTTTTAATTAAAAAAATAGAAAAAAAAGAAATAGGTGAAAGTGAGAGATAATGAACTATGTTACCCACCATTGAACTCCCATTGCAAGAATCTACAAAAGCCTTCTTGTGTAGTGCATTCCAAATTTATGCTTTGTTATTTAGTTTTAGGTTATATTACATATATAATATATAGCATCATATTATATGGGATTAATTTTATTATTATTAGGTTAGACATAAAATAAACTAATTAAATATTTGATTTACTTGGATTAGGCTACTACTATATTATAAGAGGCTGATTTTTATTCCTATGATTGGGCTAAAATAAATTAAACTATGAATTTGATGTATGAGCTGATATTTTATTATTTTCTTATTGTTTAACTTTTGGGTTAAAAGATAAAAGTCAAGTCAAAAGTGGTAAGCATACATGACAATAACATGTATATATCAAATAATATTTTGTTGGATTTGGGCTTAAATTATTTTATGTGGGTTTAAAGGTTTAAAGTTGTTAAAAGGCCAACGCGGAGGCAAGGCCAGTGCGGGGGCGCGAGCTGGCCCTCTCTTTGCCCCTGCAACTGCTGAGGCCTTTCACTATCATCACCTCTGTTGCCTTTCATTATAGTCATACCGCCTTCAACAGCCACACCACCACTGCCTACCACCACGCCTTCATTGCTTTTCACCACCGTCACCTCTACCGTCATCACCACCACCGACTTCCACCACTACTATCTTTGACCACCGCCACCTTCATTGCTTTCCACCACCGTCACCATTACCGTCATAACTGCCGCCCCGCTACCACCATCACGAATTTTTTTTTTGTTTCATTCCAACTATTCTTTTGTTTGATATGCAATTTAAAGTGGGAATGAAAAGTTCATTTAACAACTAAACCTATAGAATGGTCATTCCATTCCCAACTAATTTTTTTTTAAAAAAAAAAAAATCAAGTTTTCAAAAAAAATCTCATGTTCAAAGTCCAAAAACACCACCGTTGCTGCTGTCACCACCACCACTTTCCACCACCATCACTACAGCCACCCAGGGGCAGGGCCAGGATTTTACGGTTGGGGGGTGCCAAATAATTTTTTTTATTTATAAAATTACTATCGGAAAAACCTATGGCCGGTGGCCTAACGGTATCAGGTTCTTACTTTCAAAGAAAGGTCAGGGGTTCAAGCCTCTATGAAGGCATGTGTCTGTGAGTAACTAAGAAAAAAAATTACCATAAAAAAAAAAATTAAAAATAAAAGGAGCTAGCATCTATGCATCCAGGGATTAACTGATAGGCTTAAAAAATATATACATCAATTTAATATTAATTTATATGCTTATATTTATATGTGTATATATATTATTGATGCAGTATACCATATATATTACATTTAGGAATTTTTATAAATACGTGGGCTTAAGGCCCAAATGTTACTCTAAAATAAAAACAAGGTCTTAAAGTTTCAAATATTGATTTGACCAACACAATATTTCTCTAAAATGGACTTTACTTTTTACTTTAAACCACTCAACAACTTATATTATTATAAGAGACCCCAACAATACTTTTATTTTATAATGACCTTAGATTTTGGAATATGCATGCTAAACGATCCTTGAATACTTTTAGAAATAGAGTAAAATTTCACAATATATAAATATGGACTTAGAGACTTCTTTAGACAAAAAATCTAATATATAAATTAAATTTAACGAAACAGTATAGGCTCTGATACCAAAATTGAGTTGGATTTAACCAGATAGAAGCAAGCAAAATAACATAGGAATAAAATAATAATTAAATCACAGAAATGACTACCGAACTAGATAACACTCTGATAACGCCCTGTAAAAATGCCTGAACACCGGCAAAGAACGGGCCAACAAGCCAACAGTTCTAGTCAACTCACAGAAGAAATTGTTAAATTAAAACTAAGGCTGCTTATACTGGTTAGATTCAAGAAAACTCTAGGATCTACACTGTCTGGCTAAATAAAATCTATATATTTGATATTTTGTTGACAGAAGTCTTTTGCCCGAAAGTACTTTAAAATACTAAATAGAGATAAGAAAATTCTTGGAATGAAAGCAAACTAGATGATTTATATCATAAGAAATATATACATAGATACACACTGTTTGTACATGGATACTCGCTCACATAATATTTTACAGAAAGAGAACACTCTGAAATAAAGAAAACTGAAAGAAATCACAAAAGAAATACACTGGAAACTGAAAAAATGCTAGATGGTTCTAAACTTGATTGCTCTAAAACTCAATGATCGTTACTTGAGCAGAGAGGTTCCTTTTATAGCAGAAGAGAGGGATGAATCGGCGGCTAAGCTTGAAGATGCTGCATGGGTGGTTGAGATTCAAGATGCCTTAGAAATAAGATGATATGAATTATTGCTGAACTGTTGATGTCTTCTTTTGGAGAATTATATCAACTTTTGCTGTTGAGAATCTGCTTTCGGTGGATCTGCTTTTTCCTGTATACTGTGGAGAATTTGTTTTTTCACTAGAATTCTTGCATATTGGACAAATTTCTGTCGGTAGTGCTATCTGTTGGACTGTCAACTCTTGCTCTTGCATGCCTGCGGGCCAGTTATTCATCAGTATTGTCTGGTGAGCTGGTTTCTTCATTTCTGTAGGCGAGATTGAACTGTTCCAACAACATTTTTTCTTCATTTATTATTTCTTCAACTTCTGGGGATATCTCAATCTCTGGAGGAGACTTAAGGACATGAGGAATTCTTGCTTTAACAAAATTTTCATGTTGATATTATGATCATAGAGTCTGAAACCAGGATTGTAGCTTAAGTTAACTTGACGATAGGCTTTGTAGTATATAAGATGGTTAAAGGTAGCTGGTTCTATCTTATTACGAAAGTTATTTACAAAATCAATGTGTCAGGTAAGAACTTTGACTTCTGTGGGATCAGAGTAAATGTAAATTCTATGTTGTCCCAGAATTATAGCTCCATCTTTTACCCATTCTAGGGGAATACTGTGGATTTGAAGGAGAATTAGACTTTCTGGCATAAAATTTTGGGTTAGTTTCTGTTCGAAGGCAATGCCTTAGTTTAAACGGTTGGGAAAATTACATAAAGAATTTAGATATTCTAAGGGCGTGTCCTTTGGTATGGTGACACTGTAGATCATTCCTAATTCTAACAACTTGTTTAAATAACAAATGGTTGTTTTAGTAGAAAAAAGGGTTTTTCTAGTTATTTCAAAAGGAATAAAAAAAATAGGGTCGACATTTAACAAGATAATGGACATAGGTGTAAGGTTGCCTGTCTGTATAAATCGTAGGAAAAAATAGTTATAACGGGTTCCTTTGGGTGGATTGTTGTTTCTGAGGTAATTTTGGATATCAACTCATTCCTTGAGCCCATCTGACTTAATTTCTTCAGGGATAAGTTCTTTGATGTCTTCAAGAAAGAGCTCAACTTGTTGCCTTAGGATTTCTCTGTATGTGGGAGAAAACATGGGTAATAACTTGGCATACTTGGTTTGTACCTGCAGAAATTGAACCTTCTGAAGATTTTCCTCTTCATCAGTCCGTTGCTCAGAAATAGTTAACTCTGTGGGATTTGCTGTCGTTTTTTGATAAGCTAAATTTAACTTTTTATAATGAGATATAAGTGTCTCATGTTCTTGCTGTAAATTCTGATATGCTTTATTAGATGATACAAAATATTCATTTAAAGTGTTTAGATTTCTGACGAGGGTTCTATCGGGGTTGTTTCTAGAAAACCAAATATTATCTAAAATAAGTTTTTGGTCAGGAAAAAGATTATGTCTAGCGCGGAACTGTTGAGCTGGATTTTGGATAATCAAAAGATGATTAGAAGTGCCTAGTATAAGGCTATAGCTGTTGTTGCTCTTGATTTCCATTCCTGCAAAATTTAACAATTAATTAGTAAACGGGATAGAATATCTGCTAAATAATTGTCTTTTCCTTTAACATGTTCAAATATGGGTTTAAAACCTCTTCCAGCAATACAGTCAATAAAGGAAATCCATCGTTTTGCCAACATCTGTTGTTCCTTTGCTTTGTTTATAAATTTAACTATATTATCACAGTCTGTTCTTATAAGAAATTATTTATCAAGAAATATCTGAAATTTTTCTATAGAGTTAGTCACTTCTAAAATTTCTAGATCTGTTGAAGGTAAAGTAGATTGTACTTTATTAAAAGTTCCACTAGTATGGCGACAAATTTGTTCTTCATCTCAAGAAGATTTTTTTGTTAGTCTTTGAAGATGTAAACCTGCCCATCCTTGAGCTGATGCATCTGTTTGTATTATTTTATAGCTATTTTCAAGGGGAAGTTGTAAAGGTTCTAATTGAGAGATTAAAGATTTAATTTTCTTAACTAACTCTATGTCTTGGGTATTGAAATATT